TGAGCACACTGCAGCACATATACCTACATCTTCAAAACAGCAAATATTAGGCTCCTATCATACTATTCGCGTTTATCAACAGGTCAGACAGTAGCCTATCTAACATTCAGCACCAGCTTTATTCATAAACAGGTCAATGACGCACGCTCACTTAAATTATTCGAATTGCTTTTTTAAATAAACATTTTTTAAATTAATGTATTTTATGTTTATATTTTTGAGGTGCTTAAAACAACTGTGCAGCGACTGAGAAACAAAGAAAGTCTCATTAAAAGAAGTCTCATTAAATGATTTGTTCTTTAAAAAATAAATTGTAAAAAAAAAAGGAATTTTGTTAGAATACATTATCTATATATAGGCTAGAAAACTTTTTTCATATGAAAAAAAACTTTTTCGTCAAATAAAAGAGTGTGACGTAACAAACATGCAGGGGGCCATTTTGTAGTCACGTGACTATCATTTTATAAAACAAATTTACATATTTTGACATTTAAAAAGCACGATTAAGGACAAATAGAGCAACTGTAGGAAAATCTTATTCATGAAATTACATTATTAATATAACAATTCACAAATATTTTACCTTAAATGTTTTTAACTGAATGTTTTTAATTAATTAATTTTTTAGAAAAAATGGTATAGGCTAAATGTTTTAAAAAATGTGAAACTGACATGATTGCAAACATGTTTAATAGATTTCCCAATTTTATCATCTCTTATTTGTTATCGACCCATAAAACTGTATTCTCTCCCACATATTCTCGACCACCTCGTTAAATACCGCATTTATAAGGTCTCGCGCCTTCTTTACCTCCAGTTTCTCAATGCGGTCTTTCATCTGAGTTATGGCATGCACCAGCTCCTCCATCACATGAGTGGTCCGCATCGAGGACCCCGCGTCGTCCCGCATCATGACTTGCTCCTTATTCTCTTTTCGCGCATCCCCAAGTCCCGCGCTCCGTTCCGGGACCTTCCGTCCCTTCAAGCCACTCTCGCATTCCGAAAGCTTTCCCGTTAGGGCCCGTATGGTTCTCTGATCCGTGAGGATCTCATCCTTCTGCTGTAGGACGGTCTGCCGGAGCTCCTCGGCGGTGGTGCGGAGGTGCCCCCAGTCCTCTCCCGCGTATAACGACTGGTCGTCCGCTTGTTGCTGCAAGTTTTTCGGGTTGCACTCACCGGCGGGGACGGGGGTGCAGATGAGTCTGCTGTAAGTGACCTGCTGCGCGCTGCCTCCGGTCCCTAGTCCCGTTAAACCGTAGAAGGTTGGCGCCTCCGGTCCTCCTCGTTCCCTACTGGTCGCATCAGTACCGTGAAGAGCGTCCAGCGGTCCTGCTCGGTGCGGCCGCGGATGCCGGTGGAGATCCGCTGTGAACCGCGGCGATGATGCATATAACCGCTCCGATAAACGCCACCATCCCGGCGGCCAGAATGACAACGATGAACTTCAGGGTGGCGGTTAAAAAAATCAGTAATGATAAGAAACAAAAGATAAAGGGGAGATAGAGACCTTAAGAGTCAATTAAGTTCATCAATAAATTCCTCGAAATCAACAGCTTTTCCTCTGTAATGTGCCTGTCCACCCGCAGGACGCGGCTCTCTATATCTCCATCTCGGTATTAACGTAGGGACAACTAGAGGTGGGGGTTTAGCTCACACATCAGGGGTGGGCTGCACTTGCGAGGGAGGTGGAGACAGCACCCGCCTCATGTCAGACCAATGTGAGCTAGACTTCATTTACAGTCTGAAAAAAATACCTGGAGTGCTTAGGAAAGCAAGTATGCAGGATACAAGATAGGGGTCTGCCGCTCTAATCCATATAGGGAGACTAAAAAAAAAAGTGTTTACATGATCTAAAACTGTTTTTTTTTTGTTTTTAAGGTTTTAAACTAAAATCCTGCCATCATACTCAACCTACACTTGTTCCAACTCTGTATGAGTCATTGACTTCTATAGTATTTTTTTTTCTGTACTATGGAAGTAAACGTCTACCGTCAGCTGTTTGGTTACCCACATTCTTCAGAATGTCTTCTTTTGTATATGAAATACGTCAACACAGCAAAAAATAAAATAAAAATAAAGAAAAAGTAAAAGCCTCACAAAGTAAAAGCCTGTTTATTAAATATTATCTATCCATGATCTATTATTTCTAAAATAAATTTTTAATGTATATATATATATATATATATATATGTGTGTGTGTTTGTGTGTGTACATCAATATCGGATTTTCAAACTTCATTGTAACATTTCTGAAAATATATAGTTTACAAAAGTTTATAAAAACCAAAAATAGATGACACTCTCGCATTTGTGAGAAAAAGTCATATTTGCGAGATATAAACATGAGTTTAAAAAAGTACGAAATATGAGATAAGTCACAATTACCTTTTATTTTTTATTCTGTGGTGGACAAAAAAAAAGATGCAAAATGTAAACTCAGAATTCAAAGAAAAAAATTCAGAACAGTGTGATACAAAAAAAAATCTGACTTTTTAGTGAGCTTATATCTTGCAATTGTAAGTTTAAATTGCAATTCCGAGAAAAAAGTCTGAATTCTGAGATAAAAGATGGTGTTTAAATGATTTGAAACTGACTTTCTAACAATAATAAGAAATAATAAAAATGCTTTTAATAATAAAAACAAGTTGTGCCAACACATTTTTACACTTTCCTGTCCTCATTAATGAGCATCCCAGACAAGTAAGTGCCGAAACCTTGGAATCCCTCTTGATCCCACACTGTCCCTGGTGAAGCGTGAAATCACCCGAGCACAGGGGGAGATTAGTGTCCTGGATAAGCATGACCTCATCCTTTCACAGCAAGTCTACGGGGGTCACCCTTTTATGTGTAATCCACCTCCACACACACACTCATACACCACGCGTGAGGAGGATGAGAAAAATCGTGCATAGAGACCCAGGCCAAAGACAGAAGATTAACACAGATTTATATCAAATAATCCGTAACGATCATGTTTTATGTGGGGATTTCTGTCTTTCTGGAGGCTTTACATCATTTCAAACTTTAAGTAAGAAACGGTGGATGGTGACTCCAATTTAGCTGTTTTTGCCTAGTTCCCAAACAGAGATAGTTTGTGTTCAGTGATGGAAGACAGACTGTCTGATTTAAGGAAAAAGGCTCTTTTTTTATTTCAAAATCTCCTTGATTAAAATAGCATTGTGTTGGTGTTATTGCATAATGAAGCCACATCCAATGAGTCTGGAGATGTTTGATTGGATCAAAGTGAACAGGAAATGTCTAAACTTGTATGAATTCATCCTATTATTGCAGTTACATAATCAGAAAAGATGATCTAGTCACCCTCTCTTCTCACTGCCACCATACTTCTCATCTAGAAAATGAACATTTCTAACACGTTCCCTGTTCTGTCACTTAAAACATCATCCATGAATGTCAATACATTTTATTTGTGAATTCCTAGTAAGTCGAGTGATTAAACTTCTATTATTGAGATTTATTGGCCAGAAGTACAGCCTTATAGGCCTGAAATTGATTAATTGTGTTCAGTGGAGCTTGTGGTTGCCAGCTGCTGTTTTGGACAAAATGTGCAGCAGAGGTAAGAGAGGGAGAGGAGAGGGAATACTATTTCTGATTTCATTAAAAGCTAAAGTGGGACAGCAGTCTAAGAATGGAGTGTGTCACTCTAAAACAGAAAGACCGACTGCGCTGTATAAGAAAGACTAAAGAAGGCCACTGCCTGGCTATAAACCCTACCTGAGGACAACTGGATTTCACAGTATTACAACAACATTCAGTAGCGTAGCAGGTTATGCAACATAACCTTGAAAACCAACATAGATACAGCAAGTAATGTCTTGACTATACTCACTCTTCGTCATGCTCAATGTAAAAATTAAGTTTCTTCACGACTGACGGCAAGATAACAAAACCTTTTCCTTTTCAGGGAGCACATTGTTGTTGTTCCTTTTAAAGTGTTTTAGTGCTGCCCTCTAGTGGGCAAAGACATTAGAGCCCTCTGGAAATCACAGCAGTTGAGACATTTAAAAAAGTTGATGCTTGGGTTGGTTTCCATACAGATTAGTGTTTGTTCTTGATTTTTTTTTTTCCAGTGAAGCAAAGACAGAACTAACAAATCGTAATCCAAGATTTGACCAATCTGTAAAATATAAGAAAAAAATCCACAGTAGCCAATATTAAACTAGAATGCTTGAATCTGATTGGTATGGCCGCATTCATCACTTATATCACGCCGCCGACGGGTTGTTTTCTAGTTTCATACAAACCAAAGACTTTATACAAACGCAACTTGCACCATCTTTCGTTTAAATTATCGATTGTAGTGAAAATCATATAAAATCATATAGGTCACATTCGTCATATAGGCAGGTTGGTTTGTTTATTGTAATAGACAATTAGCGGAGGCGTGAAGATAATAAAAAAATCGTGTAAAATCAAAATAATTTGAGCTCAGATCAGTATTTCAGATTTACGATTATGCAGTCTACTGTAAAATATTGCACTGTAATAATCGTAATCGGCCATCTGTACCAACCACAACTGACTTTCAAATCTACATGTAGCCTACATTAGAGCCATATACTGAAGGCATTTTTTTTTTTTTTTATAAAATTGACCTTTTAGTTTAGAAAATGTGGGAGGAGCATGAGTGAGAGCTTTCAATGAAAGTGAAACCATATGATGGACAACGATCTTTAGAGATCGTAAATTTTAAAATACAATACAGATGTTTAGAGATATGCACTCACAGGTACGTGATGGACATATAATATATAATATTTTTTCAATGTTGTAATGAGAGCACAATTTATAATGTTCCCTTAAAGGTTTCTAATGTCAGTACTGGTTCAGTATGGCCTAGCTGAGGAAAGTTAATTCAACAAATTAGTGAGTCAAATATTGGTTATTAATTACACTGAAAAGTATCAGAATGTTGTTTTAAGTATATTTTGCATATGTATTTTTCATATGCTTTAAAATATGTCAAATATGTCATAAGATCGGAAACAGGAAGTATATGAACTGCAGACATAGGGGAGCGCGGGGCACAAAGTAACGCGCAGTAAATTGTAACACACGTGGTTTAAATATTTCCACACATGCTAGCATAACCAAATTTACAGCATTTACTAGTTACCATATCAACATTATATAGAGAAAAAAGTGCGCCAAAATTCAAAAGTCTTTTGAAGATATCGCTGAAAATGTATTTAACCATAGTAAAATTATATTTCTGGCTTAAGTACATTTTTTATCTCCGTTTTTATTACTCATTTAAAATGAGACAAATCTGCTATTATTTTAATCTCCAATCTGTTATTTATCAGTTTAAATTATTTTTTTAATCTTCGCTAACTATCAGAAGACAGTAACCAGTTTTAAATTCCAGTTGCGCAGACTATTGTAATTCACACTATTTACTTTAATAAATTTTAATGATAAACGACGAGAAACAGGTGAATAAAGACTGACAGTCAATGTTTAATGTTAAGAAATTATT